GGTTGTTACTGATGGTGTTTTCTTGAGCCAAGTTTCCCTAGGTGTCTGAGTAGCTCAGGCTGTACTGGAACCTCCTTCTGCCTCAGTCTCCCCAGGGAGACTGTGTGCCTACAATCCCTCTTTGGCTTCTGGATTTGTTCCTTTTACTTAAAACAAAGGAGTCCTGTTTTTCAGACTGTGTCTGAGGAGGGATATCTCAGATGCTAGCCAATGGACTGGTCAATGGCCTTAAATGTCCATCCTGACAGCTGCCTGTCATGCCTGAATCCTCCTCCCCTACTCCCTCAGACTCAGCCTAGAGGACACAGATCCTATTGAGGTCTTTTCCTTCCTGGGAACTTTGGCTAGATTTGCAGGGTAAGTCTGATACCAGGACCTGTTTCCCCAATAGTTGTGAGACTTGTGGGTAAGGAAGCTTCAAGGTATCACCAGAGTCCTATGAGTGCAGGGCTGTGTGGCCCAATGGTCTCTTCTCCACTGCTAGCTGGGCAGCTCCAAGCCTGAGCAGGGGAGGGAGTCCAGGAGACAGGACAGCTTTCAGATTGCACTGTGCCTCTCCCCTGCTGAGGAAGGCGTCCTGGCTCATCTGGACATTCCTCCACCTGCTTGATTGGAACATTTGGCACCCTGCAGCTGCTTGAGCTCAGCGAGCCTAGAAGAACCTGGGGTCCCTCCGCACATGGACAAGCCGTCCTGCTGGCCAACACACCCAGGTCAGCCAGCCCCAGCCCACTGTACACAGAAACTTCCTAGACCAAGTCTCTTCCCTGCGCTATGGTGCCATCCACACCCAGATAACCAGTGCCTGGACTTTTTTCAGCCCTGCTCCATCATTCTGAGCAACCACACATACCCAGCTTCTTTCTTTGTCAATGGAAGCAGCTGCTGGTGGGCCTGGGCCTCCAAGCAGTCTTTACCCTGATTCACCTGCAAACAGCATTGCTGCTGAGGTCAGCGGTGGGGCCGCAGACAGGTCAGACAGGGCTTATAGCTCCCCAAGATCTCAGGGCACACAGCATCTCCTCCAACTCCAGGAGTCCCAAGAGCAACAGGGGGCAAAGGGGAGAGACCGCCTCTGAGCCCACGGTTCCTAGCTGCCCCTGGTGACAGAGCCCTCCAGAGCCTGCTCTGATTTTGTATGTGCTTACAGGGCCCTGCCCTCAGCTCACTGGAACCCCCAAAGTGCTTGTGGTCCTTTCACAATCCTTCTGGGGGTCCTCGCCGGCCCTGAGCCCCTCCCACCCCAACTGCCCCATTCCCAGCCGCCTTCCCAAGTGCTGAGGGCATGTACGGACTCAGACAACCCAGGTCTTTGCTGGCAGATCTCCTTCACATAAGTTGGTGGAAGGATGGGTGATGGAGAGAGGTGCTCATTAAAGTGTCTTCAGAGAAGTCTGCAAGCTCCTGAGTCATGTTCAGAGTCTACGTCCTCTCAAACCCCCAGCAACTGAAAGTTGCTCCAGACTCTGCCCACTTCTCTGCTCTCTCCCACATGTGGAAGTCGGAACAAGATGACAAACATGCCTGTAAGACACTAGAATGTGTCACATGACTGCAGGGACTCAGGGCCCTATATGAGTACAGGACATGAGGACATGCTTTCAGGAGACCGAATGAGATTAGAATAAGCCTCAACGTTGCCTCTTTGGCATGTTTTATTTATTTTATTTTGTGCTGTTTTGACACATGGCAGGCTCCCGGGAAGCTCTGGCAACAGGAGAAGGACTGTCTCTCAGTGGGAGGAGGTTTCTGTGGACCAAGAATACACTCTCTCTGTGCGTCTCTGTGTCTCGGTGTCTGTCTGTCTCTCTCACCTGGAAGAGACCAGATTTTTTTAGATACTCTCAGTGAAGGCAAATTTAACTTTGCATGCTGCCCCCTGCCTGGCCTCCACACACCCTTGGTCTTGTTTGGGGCATAATACGTCCTTCTTTAGGCTCTGTTCCTCTCTATTTCTTTTGTCTTTCTTTCCTTCCTTCCTTCCTTCTTTTCTTCCTTCTGCTGCTCATAACGACATGCTGTGCTTCTTGGCTTCCTGAAGATGCTTTGGGCCCCTGGAAGTTCTTGCTTGGGGTTATTCCAGATGTATTCTCCACATGGTCCCATCCCTCCTGACCTAGCCCAGCTCTGAGCTCTCTAGTTTTTACTACTGGTTTGGATTCCTGGGACCAAACCTGCCTACCACAAGTGGAAACCCCCAATTCATTCCTGGTTCCAGCCCTATCTGTGCCTCCAGGTGTGACAAGCCAGTCCCGAGGCTCCGGTACACCCTTCTGCTCACCCTATAAACTGGTCCCCTTTCTGGAACCATCTCCATCCTTCTGAGGCCAAACCACACCAGCACAACAACAGCTAGGCACATCCTCCCATTCTAGTTCTGTCCCTACCCTTCCATGGCCTGCCCCCCCCCCCCCAGAGACACAATTCACTGTTTGGCAGTCACTTGTGGGGCCTTCCAGAGGGTCACCCTGCCTCCCCCATTGTCATTGCCTCAAGCTTCCTCCAGTTCCTCCCTCACACTCCTCACTCAGCTCCAGAACCTCTGCAGAGCAATCCCTGTGTGAGCACCATATACAGACCAACAAGGGTGGTATTCCCTTGCACACAAGCGTGTATTAACCCCAGGAGAGTAGCACGCGCCTCACAGCTGTGCCACCCCCTCTGCTGAGCCTGCACACTCCTGACATGTCTCAAAGTGGCTTACCAGAGCTCCAGCTTGGAGGCAGACATGCTCCGGAGCATGGGTTCTGACAGATGCTGCATGCCATCATCAGGGTGGCGAGGTGTCTCCCCAGACAGCCATAAGGTAGGGATCAAGCAAGACTCAGTTCTGTGTGTGTCCGTGTGTCTGTGTGTCCGTGTGTCCGTGTGGGAATGTCTACGGGCACTTGTATGTGTGTATCTTCGTCACTGTTCTTCCCTGTGTTTCCCCGTGTGTGTCATCTGTCTGTGTGTGTTAAATTCCTCCTCAGCTGAGAGTCGCTGGGGCACAGTGTGTCCTGCCCTCCTCTGAGGGAAAACTATACCTTCAGAGACCTTTTCTGCATGAGTCACCTCGGCCTGCCTGGGTGGAGGCCTGAGAGAAAAGTCTCTCCTGAGACCCCTCCGTGAAGGGCCTGCATCTGAGGAGAGGAAGGGCAGAGAAACAAAGGAGAAGCCTGGGCTTCTCTCAGCAGACAGCAACAGGTGTTGCTGGAAGAAAAAAACAAAAACTGGATTTACACTGGCTACTACATCCTGCTTCCCTACGGCAGGCCCAGAGAGCCACACCGCTGAAGACAGCCGAGTGCCCAGGACCACGACCCAACAGGGAGTCCCACAAACTGATGTCCCTCTTCCTCAGTCCAGCAGCTGGTGCCTCTGCCCTGAGGACATTCCACTATGCCCAGAGGTCCCGGGTTGGGGGTGCTTCCTGTCTACTCCCACCTCAGGACCTCCCCCCTCCACCCCACAGCTCATTGTGTGAGTGGAGGATGAATGCCGAATGTCTCGATTCCCCTGGTGTAAGCCATACCTTCCTGGGGGGGCACCTCTGATTCGGCCCTGCCCACTGCACTCTAGGGTTTCCAGGACGCAGCCCAGCACAGGCTCCTGTTACAGGAGTCTGAGGAACGCTCTCTTTCTAAGTGGCTTAGGGGGCACCCTTGCTGACCAGCTGGCTGGCTGCGACCCTCTTTTGCCCTAACAAGCAGCTAGTGGGCATCCACTGAGCGTCAGCTACGCATCGTTGAGTCTTCAGAAATAAAATAAGCTGTGCATAAAGAACTCAGGCTCACTGAGAGCATTAGAGGGCCTGGGAGCACAGCCAGGAGAGCGTGACAAAGAGGGGCTCCCTAGCACGCAGGCTCCGCCCCTCAATCCCTTACCCAGCAGCTGGGTTGGGCTGCTGTGGAAATCTGCAGGTGCTTGAAGCCCGGAGGTCTGCCCAGCCTGTGGATCTGTGTGTGTCCCTCTCCCGCTCACCTTCCCAGAATTTTAAGCGGAAATTCCCATAGATTCCTATTTCCTACTAGGGGTTGGGGATCCAGAAGCCCCGTGGCCGCACCACGTGGTAGAAGCAGACCTCCTCTAAGTGTGTACCCCGATTTAGCATCCCAGAGCGCAAACAGCGAGATGCGCCCCGCCCACCGCCCGCGCATCCGCGCCACTCAGCCAGGCCGGGCGCGGCGCAGCCAGGGTTAAGGCGCAGGCGTGTCCCCTGGGGTGGGGTGGGCCCGGCAGCCTCGCCGCGATTCTGTCGTCCCCTCGGATTGGGGCCCAAAGCCCTCCCCGGCCGTTCTCTCCGCCGCGTGGCCACGTCGTCCCTTAGTCCTCCACCTAGCGGGCTACGGGGACCAAGGTGCCAAAACACCACCCGGAGGGGAGCTCGCCTGGCCGCGCAGACGCCCCGCGGGCTCCGGGGAGGGACTTGGCCTGCCTTCTGGTCTCCGCTCGCCTGGGAGGAGCCGCCCGGCTGCAGCTGGCGGCGCGCGGAGCTCCGGGGACGCAGGCGAGCAGGCCGAGAGCCGCGCGCACAGGGCCGGAGCCCGCGCTGCCTGCGGCTTCCCGGCCAGGCCTCTCCGGCCCCCGGCTCAGCGCGGAGGAGGCGCGGTGACACCGCGGGGCGCGGCCGAGGGGAGGAGAGAGCGGAGCGCGGGCGAGCGCCGGGCCGGCGAGGGCCTCGCGGGGCCGCGGCTCCGCCAATCTGCGGGCGCTGACGCGGGGGGCGGCTCCGCGGCGCTCGGATATCAGCGGGCCGGGCGCGGGGGCTCCTAGAGCTCGGCCGTGCCGGCGCTGCGCTCCGGGTCAGCCCGCTGCACCTGCCAGATCGCGGCTCAGTCCTGCGCGCCCCCCTCGCGCTTCCCTTCTCGCCCCTGTCTCTCCAGTCCGGCGTCCCAGCCGCAGCCTGACAGCGCGCAGAGGAGCAGCCTTGTCACCCGCCCAGCAGCCGGCATGGCCCAACGGGAGCACCGCGCTCTGGATCGGATCCCTCGCGTCCTGGCCGGGATGAACCGCCGCGCCTTCTGCCTACACGCCCAATGAGTGTGGTCGCCGTCCCGGAGACCCTAGTCTGTCTCTGCGTTCCCTGTCACCACTGCCACCAGCTCCGCCGACGAGGGCCGCTGGCTGCCCCCCGAGATGCCCTGGAGAGCTGGTGCTTTGGTGGCGGGTGTCCTCCACCACGTCCGAGTCTGGAAACAGCCCCCGAGCTGGTAGCTGCTTCGACGCCGAATGGACATTGACCCGCGAGTGGTTGCCGGCTTGGTGCCAAGCTGAGGGGTGCCGGTGGACGCGCGTCCGGAACCCCCCCGAGCCCGCTGGCCTGCGCGGCCATGAAGATGATCCTGGTGCGCAGGTTTCGCGTGCTCATCCTGGTGGTGTTCCTGCTGGCTTGTGCTTTGCACATTGCTGTTGACCTGATACCTAAGCTGGACCGGCGCGCCGCGCGAACCTCCGGGGAGCCCGGCTGCTCCTGCGCTCAGCCGGCGGCAGAGGCAGCTGGCCCAGGCTGGGCCCAGGCGAGGAGCCAGGGGGAGTCGGCCGGTGGCGACGCAGGCTGGCCCAACAAACACACACTGCGCATCCTGCAAGACTTCAGCTCAGATCCAGCCTCTAACCTAACCTCCCACTCCTTAGAGAAGCTGCATCCTGCGGCGGAGCGGGTTGATCACGCCCCACGGGGTCAGGAGGCCGGCTCCCCGCCACCCCATGACCCCGTGCACCGGCCACTGCTTCGAGACCCCGGGCCACGACCCCGGGTGCCACCCCCTGGCCCCAGCGGGGACGGATCGCTCTTAGCCAAGTTGTTTGAGCACCCGCTCTACCAGGGGGCTGTGCCTCCGCTGACAGAGGACGACGTCCTGTTTAATGTGAACAGCGACATCAGGTTTAACCCCAAGGCAGCAGAGAATCCTGACTGGTGAGTAGAGAATTGGAGGCTGGGGCGGGGCTGAGGCGTCCACCCTTCGGAAATAAAGACATCCCTTAGAAAGCTGTTTCACAGGCCAAGCATTTTGTGTACTTTTGAGGACCCTTGGAGGAGGCTGGTAGGGACGCCTGGTGGGCGGGGCAGACGTGCCTCTTGCTCTGGGCCCTGCCTTTGTCTTCACAATGATTTCCTAGGGAGAAGCTCTCCCTGCCCTGGTGTGGGAAGCTGGCGGCCCACCAGAAGCCAGGGGAGCCCAGTGCTCCACCTACAAGGAAGCATGCTGGCCAGCCCTGGCGATGGCTGAGGAAGCAGATGAATGAATATGTTGGAGAGCCAGCCAGGGAGAGTGGGAGCCGCCTTCCCCTGGGAGGGGCTGGGCTGCTGGCTCTGAGTCCAGCGGGTTAGCTGTTCAGGGTGGACACCTCCAGAAGGCCTGAATGTACCTAGTAAGTCTTTAAAATCCAGTCAGCGGGGACAAAGGCAGCTGAGGAGTGATGTTGGCAGTGTGGAGGCCTCCGGGCAAGGGTGGTGCCGGGGCCACCCCGCCTGGCTATAGAGAGGAAGATGAGCCATCCTAGAGTTATCTTCCCAGCTCCCCAGCTCGGTGCCCACCCCCACAGCCGCACAGATCCACATGAGCCCAGCAGAGTGAAATATTAACCGCCAGCTGGCTAGAGCAAACAACCTGCAAAGGTCCCCAGGCAGCAGAGAGCACCGTCCAAAACAACCTCAGGGTCCTTTCTGCCCTGGAACATGACCAGGCCCTGTGGCTTGTGCCTGCACATGTGAGCCGTTTGGTCGCTTCTGGGCTTTGCTGGCCAGAAGGCTGCTGAGAGAGTGGACAGGGTGTGGCTTCTTGAGGGCTCCGGTCCTCCTTTCGCTTCTAGTTTGGGACAGACCAACATTGAAGGACCCTCACCTGCCAGTGAAGCAGAGCTGAAGCAGCCCTCTTTCCCTCCAGCCCAGGAGGCTCCCAGAGGAGCTGCTCTTCCTGTGGACAGCTGCTCTTCCTCTAGACAGCCTCATGGCCAGAGAAAGCAGGCAGCAGGTCTTCCTTCTGAGCAAGGCTGGAGTCACTGACTCCGTCGCCCTGCCCTCCCCACCTACGGCTGCACTCATTAAAATCAAATCTCTCCCTGTGCACCATTCCTGCCCCTGTTCTTTGGAACAAAGGCAGAAAGCTGGAGAGCCTTCCAGCTCACTGGGTATGCCTACAACTTCTGGGCTGTCTGATCCCTGCAAGAGCTGGCAGCCCCTTCCCACACACTCCCAGCTGACGCCATTCTTGTTGGGGCACTTTTGGTGACCCCAGCACAGAGGTGTTGGGATAGCGCTGACACTCTGGGTCTAGGCTAGTGGTATTTAGGATTGTCTGTGGCGTCTCTGGAGGGAAAATAGGAATTATAGGCCTTAAGGCGTATTATTAGTTGGTGGAACCGCAGCCGGGGAGGAAAGTGCAGACAAGGCAGTGTGAAGGCAGCTTTTAGCGAACCTGTACTTTGAACCCCAAGTCGCAAGCCCTGACCCCCAGGCCCCGCTTCCTACATTCTGAGGCCTCTTGCCTCTCTTTCTACACTTGACTGTAGCCTGCCTTTGTTCCTTGCAGGCCACATGAAGGTGCTGAAGGCGCCGAATTCCTGCCCACCGGTGAGGCAGCCGTGGATCTGTACCCTAACTGGCTGAAATTCCACACGGGCATCAACCGGTATGAGCTGTACTCCAGACACAACCCGGCCATCGATGCCTTGCTTCAGGACCTTGGCTCGCAGAAGATCACCAGCGTCGGTAGGTGCCGGCTGCTTGCCCTTGGTGTGAGTGTACTCTGGCAAGGACACACCAGGACCCTGTGAAGCTGGCCTCCCACGCAGGTCGCTGGCAAGGGAGCACACTTTTGGGGTTTTTAGGTGGCCGCCTTGATGATGCCAGAAGCCAGATGGACGCCTTAAGGCTCATTACGATGAAGCTCTGCCCTACAAATGCAGGGTATGCTGGCCAGTGAGGGTCACCACTTAGGCCCCCGGCAAGCAGACACATGGGCCTGCCTTCCTTCCCCCCTAGAAGAACACCCTGGTGACCCTTAGTAGTTTCAACACCTCTCTGCAGCACCTATGAATGGGCCACCTTTGTCCCTCCTGCAGGGGCAGCTAGATTTCAAGGCTCAGCCAGGGCCTGAGGCTCCAAGCCTGCTCCCTTCAGAGCTCATCGGGGACTCGGGGATCGCACCAGGTGGAGAGACAAAGTCTGAGGCTGGGTACCCTGCATGGCGCAGTTCAAAAGGGGTGTCTCCAGGTCTTGATGGCCTACCAAGGCAAAGAAAAATAGTCAGCATTTCAGCTTCAGGAGAACAGTACGTGAGGAGCAGTTCCGGAGCAGGTTTGGGGGCTGTTACCAGGTTGCTGCAAGTGACTGATAGCCACTGTGGCTTGGTATAGGGCAGGCTGAGGCTGGGGCTGTGCAGGGTGCCCCCATGTGCCCAGCTGCACGTGCTTCGGTAGCCTGCCATGTGTCTTGAAAGTAGATCTGCTAACAGGCTCCCTCCAGTTACGGGCTTTGGTCCAATTGCTGACACAGAGCAGTTAGAAGCTGCCTGCCTGCGGCACCTACCTCTTTAGAGGTGTCTGGGGCTCTGCTGATCTGTGTGCTGGGCTCTTGCCTGGACCCACAGCTTCCCCCTGGGCTTGTGCAGTTCACCCAGTAAAAGGGAAAGCAAGGGAGGTCTTCTCCCTCCCTCGTCCCGCCACAGAGATCTGAGTGCATACCCACCTGACCTTGTCATGCCCCTGTGGAGTCCAGAGGTGTCAGGGTGAGTGAGGAATAGTCCTTGTTAACACAGGTACTTTGTTATAAAGGAGCCACAGTGCATGCCCCTTTCTCTTTAGAGCACAGTGTAACTGTTAAAGAAATACCCAAGGTGGACATGAAGGTGAAGGCTGTCAGACAGCTGCTCAGGAAGCTGAGGCAGGAAGACTGAAAGCCCAAGGCCGGCTGGAGCAACTTAACAAGACCCTTTCTAAAATAAAAATTGGGAAGAAGACTGGGAATGTAGCTTAGTAGTAGAATTCCCCAGTAAGGGGCTGGGGTGTGGCTCAGTGGTAGAGCACCTGCCTAGAATCCCCCAGTGATGGGCTGGGCTGTGGCTCAGTGGCCATCTGCCTAGAATCCTCCAGTGAGGGGCTGGGGTGTGGCTCACTGGTAGAGCACCTGCCTAGAATCCCCCAGTGAAGGGCTGGGTGTGACTCACTGGTAGAGCACCTGCCTAGAATGCCCCAGTGAGGGGCTAGGGTGTGGCTCAGTGGTAGGGCACCTGACTAGAAGCCTTGAATGAGAGGCTAGGGGCGTGGCTCAGTAAGAGAGTAATTTCCTAGTACGAAGAAAGCCAGCTCTCAGAAGCACTGCCGCCTCTGTGGCTCATTCAGCCCAGGAATAAGGAACATGTCCTGCAGTGACCTTGAAGAGGCGACATCCTTAGATAAGTGCAGAAACAGGCTAGGATGCTTGAGTGCTGTACAACCCCATAGCTGGCCGGCTCTGTGTATGTGCTTCAGCGTGTTCCCTGTTCTCACTGACACCTGTTCTATGCAAAGTTGATGGGATCTATCCCAAGAGCTCAGAGATCAGGGGAGGCTATGGTTCCAGGGCCTTACCGGGGGCTATGCTCACCTCAGGGACCTCTGTATATTTTCGCCTGTTTAACCTGGAGCCCCACCACATCCCCATTTTGGTCTGATTTACTCTGGAAGGATGATGGCACTTGGATGCCTGGTCCCTCAGTGGGATGAGCAGCTTTGTTGGTGATGTGGAAGCAGCCTAAACTCTGGGCTTTGGTCTGGGGTTGACCAAGGCCTTCTGGGCCCAGGTATGTTTGAGTGGGTCCTACACTCGTGTACTGGAGCGCAGTCTCTGAGATAGCTCTCGCCCAGTCCCACTGTGGACATGCCTTCATCTGATGGAGAAGCAGCTAATGGAAAGTAGGCTGGTGGAAAAGGCATCACCCAGGCAGACAAAAGAGCATATCACTGCTTCCTGAACCTGAGGCCCACACCAAGCTACCAGGCAGCAAAACCTGATGCAACCTAAATGTACCTGGGGGGGGGGGGTAAAGCACAAGTTTGAGATCCTTGTAAAGAGGTACCGTCTCCCAAGGTGAAGTCATACATGCTTTGTGGCCAGGAGTGTTGGTTGTAAGGTTGACCCCTTAGCTCAGCTGCCAGCGGGGTTTGCGTCACCAGAATGCGTTCTTCCTGCATCCACAAATCCTGATGCCCAAAAGGTGCGGAGATGGGCCTCTTCCAAAAGGAGACGGCTTCCGTGTGTAAATATGAGTCAGTGGCAAATGCAGAACTGTCCACAGCACCTGCCTGGTGCATTTGCAGGTGGCAAGCACATGCAGAGCCTCTTCCCTGGGGACCTGGGATCAGACAGGTACCCATATCTCCCCCAAGCTGTGGAGTGTGTACCTGCAGAAGTGGACTAGGCCCAGACACCTCGCTCGGTAGGGAGTAGCCTGAAACGGCTGGCTCTGACCGCAGACTAAAGCCCTGGACAGGCATTCTGCGCCTCCAGCTCTATCCTGGAGGCTGCCTGCTGGAGCCAACGTGACTCATCCCAAGCTGCCCCAAAGGTTGATGTGGCTGGAAAGACGGAGCCAAAGTTTTGAGTAGATGCCTGGCTCCTGGAGACATCACTGACTGTGTGGCAAGCCAGGTGCCCGTGGACAGGATCTGCTTCTGCCCAGGTGCCACTGTGACCTGAATAATGATAGAGCAGAGCCTTCAAGAGCTAGTGCTGCTTTCCAGCTTCCTCCTATAACCAGGGAAACTGAGGCTCCAGAGGAGGAGGATTTTCCTGGGTAGCATCCCCTCGCTTCTGACTCAGGGTTCCCTGTGGCCCACCCATGATGGCTTTATTTTTATATTTTAATCTTGTGTATGTGTACTCGAGCATGTATGAGTATGTGTGTGGTTTGTGCTTGTTAGTATCTGCGCACACGTATGCAGGCTGTGTAATCACATATGTGCCCATGGTGTGAAGGTCTGAAGTTGGCAGTGGGTGTTTCAATTGGTTTGTTTTTTTGTTTTGTTTTGTTTTGTTTTTTTCATTTTTACTTTTCAAGGCAGATTGCTCGCTGAATCTGGAGCTTCCCAGCTCTAGCTCGGCTAGCAAGCCGGCTTGCTGTGGGGAATCCCTGTCTGTCTCACCAGGGCTGAGATTACAGGAGCCACGCTATCTGCACAGTTTTTTACTTGGGTTCTGGGGTTCCAGATTCTGGTCTGTATGCGTACACAGCGAGCTGTCTCCCCAGCCCCAGGAGCGATGACTTTAATCTTCAAGTTATTTATCTCACTATGAAATACAGAGTTGGGAAATACTGTTTGACGGAAAGTGAAGCCAGGGGGGTTCCACACCCTCTTGGAATGGTTCCATTAAGTCTTGCCTGGTTAGAACCTCTTGCTCCTTTCTCTCTTTTTGTGAGGCTCTGTGTGGCCCGCAGCGCAGCTGGCCAAGGCCAATAGAGATTTATTTATAGCCAGGCTCCAGGCTGCCTGGTAACGGTAGCAGACCACTGCTGCCTTTAAAGAAAGAGGCTCCACACACATTCACCTCTGCTCGGCTGGGAGTCAGAACCGCCAGGCCTTTGGCGGGGACCCGTGCTAATCAAATTACTCTCATGTACAAGTATGGATGCAGAGGTCCTACACCTGAGAGTGTTTCAGGGAGAAGTCTCCCTGGGAGCAGGGGGTCCAGGCAGCCCCCGGCCTGAGCAGAGATCTCTAAGGTGGCTCCGTCTAGGTCAGGTCAAGGCCCCACAGGTATAAGAACAAGGCAGAACAAAAGAAAATGACTCCACCAGACCGAAGTCCTTGTCACTAATTAATCTGCGGAAGGGAAAGAATGGCTAGAGATGAAATCTGGGAGAATTGGCTGTGAGCTTCAAGGAACAAAGAGCCCCTGCCTGGGGCACCCCAGGAGTTACTGCCTGTGAATGGGGGTGGGGAAGGGAGCTCCCACTCCTGTCTGAGACAGAGCCGTAGTTCTCAAGAGGCAGGGCCAGCCACCGGGTCACAGGGCCTTGCCTCTGACTGCCAGTCACAGACCCCAGGAGTAGAGGGACCCCTGAAACAACAGGCACCCCAAGATCAGGTGCACCAGGGAGGTAGCAAATAGCTGCCCCCTGCTCAGTGCGATAGGACGGACAGGCTAGAGCAAAAGTATTCTCCAGTGGAGGCTGGTGTCCACTTCCCTCCTCCCCCGCTTTCCCCTTGTGCAGCCAGGAAGCTCCAGGGACTGAGCCAGCTCTATCAGTGTATTTCTGGGGCTTCTTGTGACTGTCACTCTCAAAATAAAAGTGAGCTGCCTGGCAGACAGCATGACATAGTGACACCAGGCTGGAGGCCACTGGGGCAGAAGCTGCCCCATGTGTGTCTGGTCTGAGCCAGTGACAGCCAGTGGAAGCATGAAGGCCTCAGGACAGGCCAGGAGCTTGAAGACCTGACTGCAGCCACTGTCAACTCCAGCTCACTCAGCTTGTCCAGCCCCTCGGGCCAGGACTGGTTCCTGCAGTGCCAGCCCCAGGGAATCTGCCTCTGGCCACCAGGTAAATGTGCCCCATGCCCACTTTTTGAAGCCCAAGATTGGCAGGTGGAAGGGGACTCCAAGTGCCCAGCCTCTGAGGCAGAGGCAGACTTTCTCCCCTGCTCAGGGACATGTGAGATAAGCCTGGAGGAGCTGAACGGCACATTCTCTGAATGTGAGCCTTCCCTGGGGAGGCCTTCACTTACAGTGCGAGCACCTGCCTCCATTAATCTTCTAGAACAGTCTCCGATCTGCCCCTTAAAAGGCACCGCAGGGTGTGTTTGAAAAGAGTCAAACAACTACCTGACTGACCCCAAACTGAATCGCCAGCCCCTCTCCCGGATGAGCCGCCAAGGCCATGCCTGGCAGTGGTGAGGGTCCCCAGGGGCCACCAAGCAACATCTCAAGTGTGGCCCATGGGTATTTGTTGGTTTGTTTTGAGACAGATTCTTCTGCATCTCGGGGTGATCTTGAACTCCTGGTCCTCCTGCCTTCACCTCCCCAGTGCTCAGACAGAACCCAAGTCATGCTAGACAAGCACCCTACCAACTAGGCTATACCCTCGGCCCCCAAGAGGTCTTTCTTAAAAAATCCAATTACAGCCAGGTGCGGTGGTGCACACCTGTGATCCCAGCACTCAGGGAGGCAGAGGCAGGAGGATTGCTGTGAGTTCGAGGCCATCCCGGTCTACAAAATGAGTCCAGGACAGCCAGGGCTACACAGAGAAACTCAATCTTGAAAAACAAACAAACAAAAAAATCAAGTCAGTTTATATAAAACATGCTCTCAGGCTACTAGAAACCACAGAAGTTCCTGTTGAGACGTGTCCTAACCCTGGCTGGAGCTTGGGCCTCAGTTTCTCACCGAACCTCCTCTTTGCCCTAGTAAGGACCTTTCCTCTCCACGTGACCTGCCACCTTTCTCCAAGAGGGAACCCATGTTGTGTGCTGGCCGTGCCACCTGTGATGCCTTCATCCTAGTCCGCCATTTCTGGCCCATTTCCTTAGTGCCCAGTGCGGGTGGCCTAGTCCACACCTGGTGGGTGTTCATGACTGTTGTCCAACCTACAAAGATACCCTGAGCCCCTACTGGAACACACAGAAGTCTGTGGCCAGTGTGTGGGTCCGGGTTCCAAGCAGAATCCCCCCTGTCAGCTTCAGACAGCTTGCAGGGCTGAGGATAGGCCGAGCCAGGACAGAAACATATAATCTGTACCTCTGTCACCTCAGAGCGGTGTCCTTGAGTTCCTGGTTGCCTCCTTGGGGTATCCGTCCACCATGTGAAAGCAACAGGGAGATAGATTAGAGCTCCTTAGAAAAAAGACTGGCTAGGCTGGGATGTAGCTCAGTGGGTAGAGCGCTTGGCTGGCATGCCTAAAGCCCTGGGTTCCATACCCAGCTGTGCATGAACCGGGCACTGAAGACGTGGAGGCAGAAGGGTCAGGAGTTCAAGGTCATCTTCAGCTATATAGCTAGTGTGAGGCCGGCTTCAGTTACATGAGAGCCTGTTCAAAGCAAGAAAAGCAGGTGGTGGGGGAGGGGAGGGGCACACCAAACTGACCGGATTAACACAATATTTTGCTATTTGAAAGCCAGGATTACAAACCTTGTAAAGAGCCCGGCTCAGGAAGGAACCATTAAACCCAACAGTCTCTGTTTCTAAACGGAAATGGGGACATGCCCCCAGACTTAATGGTGCCGCTAACTTTTTAATCACTTCCTTCTTTTCCACTTTACCAGAAATGCAGTGAATGTTCATTGTGCAAAGTTAGAAAGCACAGATAAGGAAAAACAGAAAATTAAAATCCTCTGCTGGCTTCCCCAGGGAGAGGAGCAGGCTTGCTGTCGGTCCATGTGTCGGGGCTGAAAACAATCCGTGTGTCCCTGTCTTTAGGGGGAAATGAGGTTCCTGGGGCATGAATGTTTCATAAGCCGCTTGCTCAACAGTCAAACGTTGAGCACTCTGCTATGTCGCTCAGAAGGAAGGCAGAGGGTGGCGGTCACACACATCCTCCAGGGTTACTACAGCCACCAGCCCTGGAGGGCAGAGTCTCATGGCAGCCACTGGCCGATCCTCAAATCAGCCTTAAGTCCTGACGCAGCCCATCATGCACAGCAAGCAGCCAGGTGGATGGCTGGACAAGCTCTAGGTCCAGGAAGGCCACTGCTAGTCCCAGCAGGTCAACTGTCCCTATGTGTAGGTGAGCCCAGGCCACTTCTGTTCTCTGAGCCCGATTCTCTCCACAACCTTGAGAAGAAGTCTTATATGACTTTCTCTGAGAGGATGTGGGGGGGGGGGAGGATGCTACTCTCCCTATACAGAGCACCAATGTCAGGTTAAGTCTAGCTTGGTGAACCAATAAATGTGTTTGGGGTTACTTTCGAGAGCATGAATGACCCACAGGCAGCTGTGCCACAGGGAAGGATACCCCAGTATGAATGAGACCCATTCATGAAAGCTGTATCCCTGTAGCTTTCATGAGCATGAATGACCCACAGGCAGCTTGGCCTGTGGCAGGGTCTCCTTGCCCCATCAACTATTACGGCTTATACAAGGAGGAGGAGGAATTGTGATTCTTGGAAGTTTCAGGAACTTCCTAAGCCTTGTAAGTTTTCTTTACTTACTGTATCTTTTTGTTTGGTTTGTTGTTGTGTTTTGTTTTTTGAGACAGGGTTTCTGTGTGTAGCCTTGGCCGTCCTGGACTCCCTTTGTAGACCAGGCTGGCCTTGAACTCATAGAGAGTCCACCTGACTCTGCCTCTGCCTCAGCTTCCCAAGTGCTGGGAGTAAAGGCATGTGCAACTCTACCCAGCCAGGAGGAAATATCAACACAAGGATAAAGTAGCATCTGGGGCTCCATTTTACAGAAGGGGAAATTGCGGCTAGAAAAGCAAAGATTCCTTCCAGGATGCTCAGCCTAGGGAAGCTAAGCAGAAGATCAGAAATGAACCGTCTTGGTCATTCTTCCACTGAACTTTGTTTTTTGAGGCAAGGTCTTAAACCCTGGCTAGCCTGGAACTTACCATGCAGACCAGGCTGGCCTGGAACTCACAGAGAGCCACCTGCCTCCACCTCCCGAGTACTCAGATTAAAGATGTGTGCCAGCATGCCCAGCTCCGCCAAACCTTCAAACAATGTTCTGTGTGTATAGATGTTTGTGTGTGTGCGCGTGGGGTGGTATTCATGTAGAAGTAAGGGTGTATTTGGGTCTGGATGTGCTTGCGACGGCCTGGGTGTGTGTAGGTGTATTTGTGGAGTATGTTGGCGTGGAGGTGTGCGTGTGAGTGGCTGCACTGCTGAACTGGCAGGCAGTTGCCCTGCCCATCCCTTGGGCCCCTTGTGGGTTCACACTGTGGAGTTGGCTCAGACCCGACTGCTCTATCAGGAGGGGTTCCAGCTAGCTGGGGCGTGTCATGGCTGAAAGCCCCAACTTCTCAGGCACGGTGGGGAAGACCCAGCTGGCTGGTGGCTCAAGCCTTGCTGTCTGGGGGCATCCGGGGCCTGAGGCAGCCCCTTATCACTTGTTTGTTCTTCCCTCCCTCCTGCAGCCATGAAGTCGGGGGGCACGCAGCTGAAGCTCATCATGACCTTCCAGAATTACGGGCAGGCGCTGTTCAAACCCATGAAGTAAGTGCCTGACGCTAGGGTGGACGCGAGGCTGGGCTGCAGTGTGCAGGCCTACAGGCCAGGCGGGGAAGGCGTTACTCATCTGCAGGGAAACTGCAGCGGTGGCTGAGTGAGCATCCAGGCTGTCTGCACCCTGCTTGTCTCCCCCGAGCCTTCTACCACCATTACTCACCTGGCGGTGGTCTGTCTTGTTCTGTGAGGGTGAACGCTGGCATTCAGTGAGAAGCCGACAATGTGCTCAGGTAAGAGGCCTGCAGAGGAGACTGCGCTTTCTAAGAGGCTGTGGGAAGGCCACCAGGCTGCTGCTGCTGGGCAGGGCTCTGCAGGTGGTATGGCCTGTTTCCCGCTTAGCCCGCTGCCCAGGCTGCGTGGCCGTGGGACTACGGGAGCGGCGTTGAGCCTGTGCACTGTAAAAACTGCATCCAGGGAACTGGAGAGATGGCTTGATCGGTAAAATGCTTACCACGAGAGCATGAGCCCCAAGTCTGTGGCCCCCGTGAAAAGCCAGGCGTGGCATTGCACACCTGGAAGCCAGCGCTGGAGTGGCAGAGACAGGAGGGTGCCTGGCACTCGCTAGCCAGTCAGTCTAACTGAATTGCTGAGCTCCTGGTTGATTGATAGACCCTGTCTCAAAAACTAAGGCGTAGAGTATGCACTCACGAACGCACTCACACACGCGCACGCACACACACACACACACACACACACACACTCGAGCACAACTTGGCTCTAACACAAGGCAGTACCAGAGTCGGCTCTGTACCCCACAGCCTGTCACAGAAGAGGTAGAAATCCCATCACCAGTGCCGGTGTGGGAGTGCTGTGTAGCTCTTGACCCCTCAGAAGATTCTAGAGCACGTGTCTCATCGCCATAGGCTGCCTACCCTGCTCCGCCCAAGCTTTTTCGTGTTTTCGGCAGACGAGCTGCTTAAAGCATGGTTTGCAGACACAAGGGCCAAGGAGGACGTGCAGGCTGAGGGAGTGAGGCTGCAGCGCAGCCGGCTGCACAGTGTGGTTCCCCGGGGGCAGCCCAGCTGTGTGCTGGTTGACCAGATTTCAGCTCTCTGCCCTGGTTTTTCTACAGATCTGGCTTTCCCTCCTGTTTAATCCTCAGCTTTTAAAAAGAATGCCAGTAAGTGCTTCAGAAGCAGGGAAAGCATCTTGCTGTTTCCTGGTTGTCCTGTGTCCTCAGGCAGACAGGGATGGGCTCAGGGTGTGGGGGTGCCGGGGTCCTCCCTGACTTCCCAGAGAGGACAGTCAGCCTCCTTCATATGCAGGAGCCCAGACCTGAGCACCACCCACTCCCACAGGCAAAGGAAAACCTGGTCATGGGGCTTAAACCAGGAGACCATGAGGCCTGGGCGATGGCCTGCGGGGTGGAGTGGCCACGGGCCCCATGAGGTTGCTTGGCTGCGAGAGCAGCGTTTCTTTTCCTCTTCACGAATGAAAGTGGAGTTTTCTCTATCCCACGGGCATCAGTCCTGTGCAGGGAGTGGTGTCAGCTTGGCATGAGAAGAGCCTTGAGCTGGCCCTCAGGAGCCGGTGGAAGGTCTCTGCGTAGCATGTAGCCTGTGTGGTCATCCCAGGATGTCCTGGAGGGCCAGATGCCTGGGAGAAGGGCACAGCTTCATGTGGTTTCTCAAGGAGGCTTTAGTTGGCACAGAATCTCACTGTATCACAGCACCCCTCCCAACCTCTGGCATCTCAGAGGGCTGGCATTACAGATGTGTACTCCAAGTGTTGCTTAAAGGAGGCTTTCTTCCTCCCTCCCTCCTCCTCCCTTCTAACCTCCACCTTCCACCCTCCTTCTCTCTTCCCTCTCCTCCACCCTTTCCCCCCTCTTCCCTCCCCCTCCTCCCTCCCTTTCCCCTCTTCCACCTCCCTCCCTTCTCCCTCTTCCCTCCCTCTCTCACTCGCCTTTGGGTAGTTTCATGGGCTCAGCCAGGCCTCACACGTGCTCTGTAGCTGAGGATAATCCTGAACTGTTTCTTATCCGCTCCCGTCTCCACAACCGTAGTTCTGGGATTACAGGCATGTGCCACCACACCCTATTTATGCTGTACTGAAGGTGGAAGGAACCCAGGGTGTTGCACACCAAACAAGCTCTACCAAAGGAGCCACATTCTCAACGCTTCACTGAGGCTGGTATTTTAAGGCCTCTGGTTTTCACAAGGGCTGTCCTGTGAGAACCTGCCCGTGTAGAGGCCAGGGCCAGGCCAGGTGGCAAATGGATCAGGGCAGCCTGCTGCTGGCCAGGATCTGGGGACAGTAAGTGAGAATGGCAACGTGTACATCGCCCTTTCAGCCGAGTTCCGAGGGGGTGGGCTCCGGGAGGCGGGTTTGAGCTTCTCATCTGAGAAGTGTATCTTCAAGCGTGGCAGAGGTTTACAGACACATCCAGAGCTGTCCAGAGAGGCGTCCCGAAGGCCCAGGGTTTCAGGACAGCAAGTCCTGGGGATCCAGATGTCCACATGAGCGGAGGGGGGGGGGGGGGTTCTGGGTTCGGGTGCTTGCCCTGTCTGTGTGAGAGGCTGGAGAGGAAGGTATGTCCAGCTGTGGACAGCTGCCACCACAGCCATTGCCAGGCACTCGAACAGCCTGTCTCATGGGCTCTCAGAGAAGAGCAGGGCTCTGCACTCAGCGTGTTTATGTTTTGCTTCTTCACGAAATGGAGTCCAGAGGCAGGCTGTTCATAACTACATGCAAACAAGGAACCTGGAGTGTTGAGGGGTGGAGTGGGCCCAGAGCATGAGAAGGAGGCCCACTCAGTGGTCAGGATGTCGCTGGGAGAACAGGTTGAGGAAACTGAGGCTCAGAGACGAAAAGGATGTGTTTAAGGCTGGCAGAGACAGAGCCTGAGGGCCAGCCTGGGCTTTCTCTTCTAAGTGGGCGTGAGGAGTGTGGGTGGGGTCCTCATGCCAGCAGGTGGCACAGTTTGCTGAAAACTTCCCACACTGTCTGTCTGGGTCATCCTGCTCTTCCTCCATGGACCAGGTCCAGACGTTTCTGGACACCCGAGCCTCATTGACCCCAGTCCCCTTGCCAGCTGATGATGCTGATGACCTTGGGCAGGGCCCAGGACCTGGCGCTGCTGCTGCTGTGTCCTTGCTCCTCTGAAGCTGGGGAATGATACAGTTGTGGTTCTTGACAGTGGCCTTCAAAAGCCAAAACCCATGATAGAGAATGAGGCGATAGCTCAGTCGGTGAGGCGCTCGCTGCTCGCTGCCCAAGGGTACCTAAGCCGGGTGTGTAGAACCCATGGGAAAAAGCCAGGTGTGGTGGTGTATGCTTGTAACACCGGCACTGGAGAGGTGGAGGCAGGGGGATGCCCACGACTCACTGCCACTCAGTGTTAGTAGTCGTGTATTTTAGTAGACCCTAACAGCACATATCCTGCAGGCGTAGGGCGTCACAGCTGTGGTCCCAGTACTTTGAAAGCTGAAGCAGCAGGGTCACCATGAGGTTTGAGGCTAGTCTGGGATACAGAGTGAGTCTTTGTTGGAGGAGGGGGGAGATGAGGTCAGGGGAGAGGAGGAGGGAAGAGGAGGAAGAAGGAAGAGGAGGAGGAAGGGAGGGACGAGGAGGAAGAGGGAAGAGGGAGGAGAGACACACAACCAGCAGTGCAGCCTGTGAGCTCTTGGGGGTGGTTCTCAACCTTCCTAATGCTGAGACCCTTTAATACAGTTCCTCGTGTTGTGGTGATTCCCCAGCCATAAAATTATTACCATTGCTACTTCATAACTGTAAACTTGCTACTGTAATGAATTGTAATGTAAATATCTGTGCTTTCTGATGGTCTTGGGTGACCCCTGTTAAAGGTTCCCAAGGGGGTCTTGACCCACAGGTTGAGAACCTATGTTTTGAAGTATTTAAGCTTTTTGTTTTTGTTAGTAAAAAGAAAAAGTGGCTTTGCTGATACCACGCACGCCACGCCTTCCAACCCACTCATTGAGTCCTGTAGCTTCTGGTACTGACTGACTAGTGCCTCCCTCACCACTGGGTTCATTGTTCTGAGAGGAAGCTCCTTAAAATCCAGCCGGCTCTTCCCAGCCCTCCCCTAGCACCCGACAACCACTAATCTCTTGTCTTGCTGTGTGGATTTGCTTATTCTGGGTTTTCCTGGGCCTGGGATCACGAGGCAGCCTATGGGGCTTTGTGTCAGCTTTACAGTGCTGTGGTCCCTTCCGAGTTCATCCGTGCTGGAACACGCGGGAATGCTCCCTTCCTTTTTATTGATGAGTAATACTCCACTCTGTGGAAGGACCACGCCCTGTTTGTGCTATCCATCTGCTCATGGGCCTGGATTGTTCTCAGAGTCTGTAATGAATAATGCTGCTTTGAACTTTTCCATGTGGTCACACGGACATATTTGGGGGTTCATTTGTGTATGGTGCATGTGTGTTGCGAGAATACTTTTCCCAGGGACACAGAGGTCAACAATGTGTGTGTGTGTGTATATATATATATATATATATATATATATATATATATATATATATATGTTCTTTTGACTTGAAAGCAAAGTACAGTTTGTCAGAGTCTATTATTATTGGGGAACAGAGTATGAATGAGGGAACCCGTGGCTACCACACCTGAAAGTCTTCACCGAGCATGGAGATGGTTTATCCATAGCTGCAGAGATGGATCACCCCCACACACACACACATACACACTTCAGTTAACCTCCCTCACCCTATAAACCAGTGGTTCTCAACCTGTGGGTCCTGACCTCTCCGAGCGTCGCCTATCAGATATTTACTTTACAGTTCATAAGGAAAGCAGAATTGCAGTTATGAGGTAGCGACGGGATGACTGTTATCTCGTTTGCACTAGGAAAGTTGAGAAACACTGCCGTAGACTCCAGCAACCCGAAGGCCCCAGTTGTCATATGCAATCAGGGCAGAACTACATAAAGTGTCTGGGAGAAGCAGATGGAGTCTCAGTTGAGGTACCATGACCTTCCAGACCCACTTCTTCTGCTCACAAAGGTCTGCTGCAGC